GTGAAACTTGGTCTCTGACATTAAGGGAGGAAGATAGACTGACGGTGTTTGAGAACAGGGTGTTGAGGAGAATATTTGGACCGAAGAGGGATGAAGTGGCAGGAGGTTGGAGAAAACTGCACAATGAGGAGCTTCATAACGTATACTCTTCTCAAGTCAAGGAGGATGAGGTGGGCAGGGCATGTAGCACGAATGGGGGAGAAAAGGAATTCATATAGGATTATTGGTGGGAAAGCCAGAAGGAAAGAGACCACTGGGAAGACCAAGGCGTAGGTGGGTGAACAATATTGTGACGTGGACGGCGCAACGCTCGTTAAACACCCCCCTCTGCGGTGACGTAACAGGTGACTCTGCGGTTGCTACGCAGAAATATACAACTCTCGGCAGCGTTGCCCAGCAACGCCTTTGTAAACACGGTGTCACGCAACAGGGGAGCAACGACTGTTGCTAGGCAATCGGTAAACACGACGTTACGCAACAGTGGTACCTATCACGTAACTGTTTTCTGTATTGTCCGTGCCGAGCCTAAATAAGGAACAGCGAACACTATTCAGTACTGAGTGAATTGCTAGGGAGAGCAACTAGTCAGTTGCAGTCTAGCATTCGCCGGAGTGAATGGAAACAGGAGGAGTACTTGTAATAATGCAGACAGCAGTAGTTGTGAAACTGTAAATTGTGTAAATGTAAGAGCGAGTGGAATAAATTCGCTATATCCAACACAGCGTGAAGTTACTTGTCGCGTTATACACCCAACACGTGACAATATTAAAATATTATCTCTCTTAGAGAGATAGGTTTGGATGGCATGGATTGAATTGATCTGGGTCAGGATAGGGACCAGTGAAGGACTCCTATGAACACGATAATGAACCTCCGGGTTCCATATAATGCTGGGAAATTCTTGAGTAGCTACAGATTTGGCTTCTCAAGAAGGGCTCAGCTCCACAAGTAAGTAGGTAAAGGTTCTGCTGGAGAAATAGACATACAACTTTTACTTCGACTTTTTTCACACTTATCTGAACAAGTAGTTCTTTTAAGAACTCTACCTTCTTGGATATAACATCCCTGTAACAGGCCGTGGAGGCCTATGGGGTTATGAGACGTCGAGGATCCCATATTTCCTAGACAATCAGTTCACAGATGGCGGTGAGGTCGTCAGCTTTACGCGCCGGCCGCCCTATACCCCCAGGAAGATTCCTGGCACTCTTTTCTGTTAGAGGCTGAGTTGACCCCAGGGCCATAGTGCGGTTGGAAGGATTAGGCCAATTGAAAAATACAATGACCTCATCGGGAATCTAACCCGCGACATTCCAGCTTGTGTCATAATGCATCACCAAACTATGCTACGGCGGCTGCTTAGTCCGCTGAAAGTCAACCGACGTTTCGTAGGAACACGTTACCTCCATCTTCAGTGCCGAAGAATAAGCCAAACAAGAAAGCACTATGAAGTAGGTAGCACACAAGAAATTTTTAGTTAAAAGTTATCCACCGGAACGGTCTCTGTGTGTGTGTGTGTGTGTGTGTGTGTGAGGGGGGGGGGTCTTACAGCGCAGTACGTACGGTAATTAGACCTACGTACAAGTGAACGAACACGAGAAAGGTAAGAGGCATTCAATTATTGTAACGAAATGAGGCGCTTAAACGATAAAATGATGCGACAAAAGCACAATGTTCCTGTGTATTCATGCCAGTGAGTTCTAGGAAACGAAAACCGTAGTCCTTCAAGCAATACGCATGCTCACTAGCAACTATTTCCCTGGCTCGGAGAAACAACAGATGTTAACTATATTGACATAGATGTCATCATATATTTACGCTGAAACACAAATAAAAATGGTATGCTACTATTCACGTTCATGACAACTGAGACCTCCATGTCTGTAAAGATGATGCCTGCAGTCGTTCCTCACCGCTAGAAGAAAAAAGGACCGTCGTGGCCGATTATTCGACTCAGGATTCTCGACCTGGAAGTCTACTACCCCTACTGCGAATTTTAGGGTATTTATTAACCTCTTCACTAAAATACCAGAACCGCTTCCTCCCGGGTCCTTTCAAATTCACCGTACTCAGTGCGTATCCTCCAATTGGACGCTATGCAGCCTAAGCAGACCAAACAAAAGTCGTTAAAGAAGCTAATAACCAGATATGACACCGCTCACACAGCCCGTGGTAATAGCACTAACTGCACGTCTCTTACAAAACTCTTGCCGTCAGGCTGATTGTATCTGTTGTGGGCATGCGGTAGAGTAATTGGTTGAGACACTATGCTACAAGCCGGAAGGTCGTGGGTTCGATTTCCTATGAGGTGGATTTCTTTTTCAATTTACCTAATCCTTCCAGCCGCACTGTGGCCCT